GTGAAAAGGTTGCTTGAGTAGTGTGCTACTTGACTTAGGCCGTAATTCTATTCCGTTAATTGTAACAAGAGTATGATATGATTGTGATTTGAAGAGATAACTAATTTTAACGTTGAGAATGTAAATAATTTGATTAAGGAAACCAAGGTTGTGTCCCTTTCAATGAAATATAATGCTATCAGTGTTAATATGATATATTTCTAATGGAAGGTTCTTTAGATATGCAAATGATTTCTAAATAACTACCCAATATTTTCCAATAGTTGGGTAGTATTTCCTCTTTATGATTTTTCCAAATATAAAAGATTTGCAATTAAGAGCAATCAATTTATGCCTAATAAAATCCACTTATTCCTAAGCGATTCTATTAAACAAGGTTTAAAGCCTTGAGTCTTTGATANTCTTACAAAGTGCAAGATTCTTCACTCCTAAAGTTTCCAAAAGAGAGGAATATTCAAATGTTGGAATGTAACTCAAAAACCAGACAAGATGCCCCCACAAAATCCCAATAAATCTATTTATAGCGGGCTAAAACTCGGGACCAATTTCGGACAAAAATGCCCCTCCAGATTAATTATGCGACCGCATATCTGTCGCATAACAGACATGCGGTCTGCATTCTCGTCAAAGCCATCGCATATTTGAACCCTAGTTTCCAGGTAGTCTTCGCATCTTGGTTATGCGATCCGCATTATTGATTTGCGACCGCATAATGTCACCGCATTTCCAGCTTCAACAACTTCTACAGGGTGTTTGCGATCCAGAATACGGTCGCATAATGGACCGCATTTCTTGCGCTTGAATTTGGCCAACAGACTGTTGGGCTTTGCAGTTCCTCTGAGCAATATGAGGTCCGCATGTTGGATTTGCGGTCCGCATTCTCATATATGCGATCGCATTTTGCCTTTTTCTTGTCCTTTTTGCGGCTTTTTGATTTCATTTCCATATTATTGGGTCCTTAAACCTCATACACTACAAAACATTAAAATTACATAAGTATAAAAGATAATTGCATTTAAAACAAGCTAAAATCTAAGCAATTTGTATTAAATGTGCCGAAATATTCCGGCACATCATTCGGCCGTGTTTGACTGCGATCGCGGTCGTGAGGTAGTGGTCTAGCTATTTACTGCGGTCAGGCCTATTGGGATGCAGTGACTGACTTGGGAAGTCATTTTTAGCCCTATTTTGTCCCCCACAACCCCAAAACATAAAAACTTGCTCTAGAAAGGAAAGCTCTCAAAAACCTAACTCCTTAAGGGTCCCTCCACCACTCAAGGTAAGTTCTAATGGTGATTCTAAGTTAATTTTAATTTCCCAATATCTTATTAACATGGGTAAACCCTCCATATCATTAGATATTCGATTGTGACATCATTGTTAAGAGAAGGAACCCCTAGAACTCGAATTCAAGGGGACTGAACGTCAAAAAGGTAATATCTCCACCCTCTAATTGATTCTATCATTGAATTAATGATTATAGACTCTAGTTCATGAGATATGAGTTGATGGGTTTGATAGAAAAGCATGAACGGTTATAGGTTTGGGTTGTTGATTGTTGATTATTGGTTAAGGGTATTGTTTACCTTATGGGTGATAAAGAATAATATTGATTATAACCATTTGAAACTTTAGAATTTATCTAGGAGCAAGAGAATGGGTTATTGGGTGTAGAAATGCCATTAATAGGGATTATAAAGCTTTATACTCACCAAGTGTTTGATAAAATGTCTAAGTGACCAAAACATGGGTATTGTTGCTAATTTGGAATTCCTTTGACTTGTATTGGTATAGATTAAAGTTGAAAGGGTTGGCGAATGTTGTATTATGCTCAAGAGCAGGAAGTTAAGGTATGTGAGACTAACTCTCTATGTTTGGGAATGTTAATGATTCTCCCTACACTACGTTTCTTTTACGACGTTACTAATTGCCTCAGAAAAATAGTTTAGCCTAGTTCCTTGAACAGTTGTAGAACTTCTATTCTCTAGCTTCATAACTCGCTCATGACTTTCATTCTGAACGTTGTGAGCTCAGTGCGTATTTAATATAGACTCGGGTTTGATGCCCCCGAGTCTCAGTATAGATTATTGTATGCCATAAACAGTTGAAGTTTCAGTATTCATAATCAGTTCAAGAATACATGTCTCAGTCTAGTCCTATTCAGTATTCCAGTATTATGTGACCCGGTATGATTCAGTATTCCAATATTATGTAACTTGGTGTGATCTAGTATTTCAGTATCATGTAACTCAGCGTGATTCAGTATTTTACTATCATGTATTGCAGTATCATTCTCAGTTCCTAATTTTAAATTCCTGAATGTCGAACACCTGTATTTGGGCTTGAGGCCGCAGTTTATGCTTTATGCATCTTTGGGCATGAGGGCGCAGATATGTATATGTATTTTTGGGCCCGAGGCCGCAGTTGTGCACACACACACACACACACACACACACACACATATATATATATATATATATATATATATANAGATGGGTTATTCATATCCTTACTTCTTTTGTTCAGTTCAATTACTAGTTATCATTTCAATTATCAATTCTCAGTTATCAGCTTAGTTTCAGCTTCAGCATTTTTAATTCTTTCTTTCAGTTGCTTTACATACCAGTGCAATTCAAATGTACTGACGTCGTTTTTGCCCGGGGCCTGCATCTCACAATGCAAGTAATGATTTACAGGTTGACGATTCAAAGCGCTAGGACTCTCGTATCAGCTGTTTGGTGATCCCCAATTCTTTCGGGGAATCATAATTATCTTATAGTCTTCAGTATTTTCAAACAGTCAATGTTTTCAGTACTTCATTAGAGGCTTCATAGACTAGAGTAATAGTTAGACAGAGTTGCAGGCTTTTCATATTAAGCTATATTGGCTACAAATATGTTTCAGAATTGTATTAGTATTTTCGCACTTTGATTTATATCATCCAGACTTTCAGTATATCAGCATGTGTTAGTTTATCTTCCGCATTCAGTATGTTATGATATCACATGTTGATTCAGCCAGCCAGTTGGTTCGCTCGGTCACATGTAGTCAGGCACCGAGTGTCGTGTTACGTCGAGGCCCAGGTTCGGGGCGTGACAAAGCAATTCATCAAACACCTTGTATGCATGTTTTTGTGAGTTAAACCACTTTAGTAAAGAGTTATATTCACTTACCTCAAAACTCCTCGATCCAATACGTAGGCTCCGGTCAGATTTGTACCCGTCAACCAATCGATTCCACAACAACTAGTGCATCTTAATTAATTTCAAAGTTTCACACCTAAACATTGAACTTAATGTTGATACAGAGAAAGAAGGGAATTAACTATTCAATTCTTATACTGTAGGATAATTGAGAATAGAAAATTTTATATATCTGAATTCAAGGATTAATGATTTGTAAAGAAACCTAGAATTTTCGTTGTCTGCATGAGTAAGCAGCAAGACTGCCTCTGTTTCGTGGTTCTCTGTTAAGTTGCGTTCTGATTACTTCTTTTTTGTATAAGGTTTTTTAAGCCTTTTACCTTTTAAAAGTAAAATATGCTTCTTGGTATTTTGTCCGAGGCTTTGAGCCTTTTCGTACAACAGCCCATTTTGGGCTTTAGGTTAATCATGTGCTCTCTTTATTTTTTTTATTTTTTTTTGGACTTAACTAGTATTTAATTGTACTCATTTTTAATAATTAACAATATTAAAATTATTAATATTCTCTTAGTTGTATATCCAATTATTTATAAATAGAGAAGTAATTCAAAAGTCAATCACAAGGGTTTAAATCCGTAGTAGAAGTATAATTTAAGATTTTAAAAAATTAAATTTTATATTTAGCGTGTCTTGAAACTTTTAAATTTGAGGAGTGTTACGGCCATGGTCAACAAGATTGATCTGAAAACACTAGTACCATACCACCATAGTAATCTAGTTGGTACTTAGTAGTCATAAAGTCTCCACAGTAAGGCAAAAAGGAGTCCTATGTGCATCTCTTTCCTTCAGAACATTGTAAATAAGCAGAAGGCATTATGTTACCCAACGCTGCAAGTTAGAACTTACCATCGACAAAAGCTAAAAATCCAGATTGTTATGTACATCATGAACACTTCCGCATCCTTCAAAAGATTGAAGTTGAGACCTACATCTAGTATTAGCTAAACTGACCCTAATCAAAGTTTCATCCACTGCCACTTTCCAGAGAACCTGTCAATACTGCAGATTTGGATTCATCTCGGAACGGCCTGCAGTCCAAAACCTGTCAATTCTGCAGATGATAGTTCTAGCAGCTTAGGATTTATTCACCCATGAAATGCTGAAAGAGAAAATTCCTCTTTTTGTTTTGCTAAATCACAATGCCTGAAGTGATTCATAGTTAAAGAAGAGAATTTTAAGTGAATAGTTCCTAAGTACTCCAAGAAGAATTCTAAGACTGCAAATTAGTTAGGTCTTAATCACTTAGGTCAAACACTCGGGCCCCATTTTGAACTTAGAGCTTACCAACGATCCTTCAAAATTTGGCTGATTAGTGCAAATGTAACCTAAAGCCTCTTTTGTTTATGATTCCTATCATGTTTGATTGAATATGGAGATTCAAAATGTTATTCTCTTCGTCTCTGTGAAAAGGAAATGATAAATTTTGAGCATAGATATTTGTACAGTTATAAAATATCTCAATGGGGCAAAATGAGCATTTAAAAATTAAATAGTACTACTACATAAGTGGTAGCAGAATAGTTAAAAGAACTAATAAAAAATTAAAATGTCAAACTACTATAAATAAATATTACTTACTAGAATGGTTTCAGAAAACCCAATCGGAAGTATATCGCAATTCAAATTTTCAGGTAAAAATTGTTGGAACATTCCTTGGTCTATACCATGGTCAAGAAGATTGATCTAGTGAGTCTCCTATGTTCTTTAACTCTTTTACTGCAAATCTGAAAAAACTAGTACTGTACCATCATAGTCATCTTGTTAGTAGTCACAAAGTCTCCTTCAGAACATTGTAAATAAGCAAAAGGCACTATGTTACCCAACACTGCAAGTTAGAACTAACCATCGACAAAAGCTAAAAATCCAGATTGTTATGTACATCATGAACACTTCCGCGTCCTTCCAAAAGATTGAAGTTGAGACCTACATCTAGTATTAGCTAAACTGACCCTAAGCAAAGTTTCATCCAGTGTCACTTTCCAGAGAACCTCAATGGAGTCATTTTTTACGGCAAATATGAGAACTAGTCCATTTTGAACCACACCTATAGCAGAACTGATATTCACACCTGCAAGTCATGTGAATGCATCCCTCTGTCTTCTCAACAAATATTTTACAATTAGGACATTTCTGCCAGCTTTTCTTCTTGGCAAGTGTCTTCACCATGTCCTCTTTTCCCCCCTTTTTGGCGTTCAGTTTCTGGAACTCTTTGCATGTAAACTCTGGATGCCATGGAACTCGACATGCTGCACAAAATGATCTTTTGCACAAAGGGCATTTTATCTTTTGTATACTAGCCCCAGTATCATTAACTAACAGGGCTGAGCAATCACGGAAAGGGCAGTACAGCTTTTGAGAGTCAGGAATGATTGACTGGCATAACGATTCATCCCACCGGATTAGTGCCTCTTTGGGAATCATGAACCTACAAGCACTAATATCAAGTGCAGCACTGCAACTTACTCCAGGGCAACCAATAACTTTTGGCTTTTCTGCAATCCTTGCAATGATATGCTTACTTGTGCACTCATAACAGAAGGAATGAGAACAACTCTCATTTCTAAACATCTGCCAACTTTCTTTGTCATCCAAGCAAATCTCACAGAAGCTTTTAAGTTGGCCATCACCTTCTTTTTCAAGCTTCAACATCTCTGTTGCCAAGAATGGTCCTCCTTGTATAGATGAAGATGCATAGTTGCTGCTTGGACCAGTGTAAAGGGAGGCTAGTAAAGCTTCTTGGAGCTGCAACTCTTCTGCATATTCAGCATCACGATGGACAAGTATCTCACTTATACGTCCTCCAACAAATTCTGCGACATGATTATAAGCAAATATGTGGATCACAGAGAAATACTTAGTATGAGAACAAAGATAAATATAGTTTCGAATTGCAAATATGTAAAGACATCTAAGGTGTATCAAAAAGATCTAAACATTACATACTGAAGTAAAATTTCAAGAATGTCTGAAGAGGAACTATTTTGAAATTTATCGAGCCTTGCGTGACATGAGTCAGTAAAGATTTCAAATCCAGACGCTAATTTTTTATATGTGATTATCTCACTTCAGCTTCTTTAATTGGTAGTGCTCTGGTGCAATTTTTCTAAAGCAATGACAATTCATACCCATCAGCTTCTTGTTTTCACCCTTCCCCAAAATCTTTGTTTTCTATCACATGGCATGAGATTAACAGAGAGCAAAAAACAAGGGAAACAAAATGAAGATCATCTCTGCAGCATCAGTTTAGCATGGTTTCCTACCTATGTACAAGATCTATAACTCCTCAAAAGATCAATACCGACAACCAATATTACCAATTACCTAATGAGACAAGAGCTTAGTTCAAGCTCATAAAATGGGTTGATAAGTTACAAGACGGATTTATGACAGATTAAGGATGAAACTTGACGAAGAATAGCAAAGTGAATATGCTATTTAGACCAAATAACCATGCATCAAGAAGAAGAGACTCACACATCACGCTCCTCCTTACAATCATCATTCAAACAAACAGTTGAGACGTGATATTCACTCGGATAGAATGCAACGGAAATTCCACAAAAGTTTTGTAAGCACATCCTAGAATACACTATCCTGACTTCCTGGGTAGCTCATTTCACTGTGTGGGAATTAGGAGCCCCTATTAAGTACTTTGAGGCAAAAATACATTTGTTATGACCAAGAAATCCTAAGGGCCAGTAAAACACGGTTCAAAACTCAATGGATAATGAGCCACTCATCTACCCTTCGTCACTTAAATACTAGGTTTTTTGTCATGTGCAGGGTTCAAACCAGGGACGTGTGCATTACCAGAACTTGGGGCATAAAAGTACACAATATTTACTGATCGCTAGTTTCCCAAGAACAGAAAAAGGGTAGCAAAAACTAGAGGATTAATTTCCATACATGGCTCCAATAGACTAAAATCTAAAATTAAAAACATTAAAACGGCACACTATCACAATATTCAACTTCAAGCAAAAAAAAAAGAATGTAAATTTCTACAAGATCGTGTAAGCTTGGTGAAAATATCAAGGTAAATTTGTACACAAGTTGATCAGAAGAAAAGATAAAGATAACTTATTAGGCAAAACCAAAACGCCAAATTGATGAAAGCATACAATTTTAGTACCATTCACATGAGCATCAAACGTCGAAGCCTTTGTCGACTCACGATCGACATTAAACTGAGGTTTATTCTTGCTTTTCTTAAAGTAAAAGAACCCTGGGATTGCGACGGTTACGAGTAAAATCACACCGGCGGATGCTGCACCGAGATCACCGGTGACCGGTGAAAGTCGCCCGAGGGAGTTAAGTAGGGAACCAAAAATCGCCGGAATATGGGCGGAGAATCGGTTTGCCGGGAAATCCATGAAACTGAACTCGGAAACTAAAAAGAAATTATGAATATGAGAAAGAGTTATAATGGAACTAAAATCAATGGCGATGGCCGATGGGGGTGGTGGGGATAGTGTGCAATTTTGTTCATAGTACTAAGGGGCCGGGTAGAGTAGGGCATCTGAAATTTGACTTTCTTATTAAATTAGTTTCGAAATTTTGGAAAAAATAAAATTAGTATTGAAAAGGACCAATGGTGTACTACTCGTGGTATTTAACACAGTTGCTTTCATTATTTAAAAATAGAATGCAGTTGCTTGTAGATATAAAGAAAAAATCACTTGCTTTCATATTACAAAAAAATATATACAGTTGCTTTCAATTGAATACAAAGTTAGACAAGTGATAAATGAGGATCAGACCACTTTCTTTGACATGTTTGACAAGTCAGAAGTTATAATTCACTGGAGTATTAGCACTTTTGGTCACTCAAATATTAATAAATTTTAATTTTGGTGCTTGTGATGTATAATTAAGAATATTTAATCTCCAACAATTAAAATGCATGTTTTTTGTCCATTTAGATGAGAAATGTGGTACATTTGAACTATTCTTAGGAATATTTCCCTCATATATGGAGTAATATTACAAACTTAACATAATAGGTGAATAATTAAATGATGTAGTGATTAATAATTCGTTATTATGTTTTGAGAAAAATGCAAATAGTGGGATCAAATTCAAATGTATAGTCCAACGACCAACCAATTGAAAGTTAAATGTACTTAACCTGATATTACAAGGACCAAAATAGAAATTTATTGATTTTTGAGGGACTAGAAGCATAAATTTTTCTAATTAATTTCTTAACCATTTTCTTGATAATGGAGAGAGATACTTCGTTGGTGACAAATGAATGTCTTTTGAAGCTAATCTGTAATAAACACTGTTATTAGAAAAAGAGGAAAAAATCAACAAGATAATAGCAGTAATTGATTAGATGATCATTTGACTGTACCACTAGAATTTAAATTGTAATCTCTTCACTTTCGAACTGTCCTTTTAAGCTTCATATTCATCTAAATATTCAATTCAAGTTTAAGGAGCAACCATAAGAAACTATAAGTTGGATTTTTGTGGGGAAAGAATAACGAATCTAAATCTACGTGATTGATTCAAATCATTTTCACAGGTACAACAGCTTATAACCAACACTCAACAACTTACTAAGATATTTTTCGATGTACTTTTGTGGATCATTCATGGAAATTGTCTAAATAGATTTGAACAAAATATAAACCAAATGGAATTAGTACACAGTCAAACCTCTCTATAACAGCCTCGTTTGTTCCGGATATTTTTAGATGTTATAGCGAATTGCTGTTATAGAGAACATATATTATAACAAAACATGACATTTGATTCCGAAAAAGCTTGACTTTTAGAGTGAGAGACTATTATATAAGAATGTTAATATAGAGAGGTAAAACTGTATCTTACGATTTTAAAGGTTAGTTTGTTAGGCTACACACTTGTCTATCATTGATTGTTGAAATTTCTCAAAGAGTCTTGGACTGTTTTATTTTCAATGTCCCTTTTATATGTCACTATAGTATATCTAAAAAAGAATGTCACATTTAAATACTATTTGAAACTCTTTAACTCTATACTTCTCATTTTTCTTAAGGAAAGAAATGTATGATCATATAAATATCATGACATTTTTATACCATAAGTTCTAAAGTACTTTTGGTATGTGCTAATTGTTTTTCTTTATTAAATTCTATGCTCAATCAAACGCCATTGATGGAACGAAAAGTGTCTATTACTATACTCTAGAGAGTGCAGAGAAAGCAAGTTGTTACTTTCTGTCTCCTAATCCAGCAAGTCCAGTTGAAGTGTCAGTAATACTTGGCTTCCGGAAGTAAGTGTAGAAATGATACCAGGTAGCCACTCTAAAGGACTGTTATTTAGAAATTAGCCAATGCGTCTTGAATTTCAGTTTTTAGCTTAATTTTTCAGGACAAAAATATCATGAATTGTCCTGAAGTTAAGATTTTTAGTTTAAAATTTCAAAACTAAATAAGTACTGGCTAATCACTAAATAACATCCCGAGAATGGCTATCTATGCACTTGCCCCTCCGAGAGTTCCCCATTAGGCCTTTTAGCTTTTTGTGGTGACTGGTGAGTTTGTTTTGATTTGTTTTGGGATCTTTCAACGCATAAGAAACTAATAGGTGATGACGTCCAAAACACATCTCGATAAGAAATATGCTACGGTCGTATGCAATATAATTTACCCAATTATGAATCGGGGTCGATACCCATAGGGAGCTATGAAGCGTTCTAGTTGACTCAATTGCTAAATAATCTAAGTTGAATAAAGAGGGACAAATATACTTGGATTTTGTAGATATTAATTAATGAATTAGATTCGATTAACTAACAACAAACTAAACTGGAAGTCAAGAATAACTTAAAAAATTTGTAGATGATAAAAAGGCCTAAGGTAGAGAATCTCCCAATTGCCAGGCTAACTCTGAGTGAAATCCTGAAACTTTGTTTGACATTATTCTATCAACCTTGGACCTAAAGTTATTCGCTAGAGTTTCCAAACTACTAACGACACCATTCTTGAAATATATTTCCTAAAATAATCAAGATAATAAACTCGTCCAATTCTAGGTCACAATCGAATCATGATGTCTGATAAGTGGGGATTTTGACTACTTATTAGCGTCTTTTTACTTCATTTTAGTCCGAAGTGGAAATTTTGACTACTTATTAGAGCCTTTTTACTTCCATTTAGTCCGAAAATATTTAATTGTATTTTCGAAAACTGATAAAATATGCTTACTTGCAGGAGTATTGGAAAATGAGCCATTACGATAAAATCCAACTCAAGAAGGAGTGCTTTTGAACAAGGACAAAATCAAGCACCCAGGCTCAAGTGCGGACCGCAGAATTCTATCTGCGGCCGCAGAATATGCAGAAATATCAACAGAGCTTCAGTGTAAAGTGCGGACCGCAGAATAATTGTGCGGCCGCAAAAGTCAAAGTTCAAAGAGTTCCAAATTCAAGCCCAACAAGAACTGCGGACCGCACTATAATTGTGCGTCCGCAGAAATCAAATGTGCAACTGCACCCAGAATTATGCGAACCGCAGAACTCAAGAGATGCGACCGTAATCCAGAATTATGCGGCTGTAGAATCCACTTCTGTCAAGAGCTGAAGAAAAGTGCTGACCGCACACAGAATTGTGCGGCCGCAGAACCTCCGAAAGGGCAATTTTATCCGAAAATTTCAGTTGTGTATAAATAGACTTCTTTTACGAAATTAGGCCAAGTTTTGAATATTGCATCTGCTGTAGCCATTTTTCTTTACTGCTTTAGGCAACTTTAGCTTACTTTAGTAATTTAACATTGGAATTTTTATCTTCTAATCTTTCAATATGAGTTTAATTATCATTTCTTCTCTATTTTCCTCATTACTCATTATGAGTAGCTAGATTTTTATCTAGGGTTGTGACCCAACTCTAGTGTGTAAACCTAATGGGTGTTTAATTTATGGCTTGTTTATGGTTGGGTGTTTGTTATTTAGCTTGTTCTTGCTTTTTATTATAGAATTAATGGTTGCAAATATTAGTTCATGCATATTTGATTTGGTCTCTACTTGAGAAAGAGAGATTTAGTCTAGGGAAACTTGGATAACAAGAATTTGGGATGAAATCAAGAGATTGATAGTCCCAATTAAAAGGTTGAACCTAGAGATAGTAAAACCAGACTTGAGCATTTTATCAACTGTTTGGTTCAATACCCATTTGGACTTGAGAAAACCAAATTGGGCAAAACCACTCTCTTACCGAGAGGTATTGAGTGGGTACTTGAGCGTTGATAGCTATAATACATCTCGACCAACAAAACAAGCTTTGAAGTTTAGAACCCGTTAGGCAAACACCTAGGTGAAGGTCATAGCCCTAGGCCTTTTACAATATTTGACAAACAAATAAAAAAAATATTTCCTAGTTTCTAATGACTTGGACTGACCCAATCTTGTCAATCTTTTTCAAGAACAACAAGAAATAGGGTATAAACAATTTCGAACTCAAACAATTAAATTCATTAAAATTGCAGCAAAAACAATAGAATAAGTATCAATGATTCAGGAATATTTACTCAAAACTGTCCAACAACGAGTTCATTAATACCCTAGATAGTGAATTTAGCTACTCATATTTGTACTAAAATATATAATAACTATTCTCAAAACAATCTCCATAATAAACGAAAAATAAGAAAAGTTAAGATAAACTCTTCAAATCTTCGATTATGATGGTTTTTGGATTCTTTCAAGCCCTTACTTGCTTCGAAAGTAGTGTTCTCTTCTTTCCAGGTCGAGAGTGTGGCTATGAGGTAAGAAGAAGCTTTTATATCGTGTAAAATTTGCTCCAAAAACCAAAATATCTTTATAATTTTGGCCCAAAAAATTTCTGCTCGCGCGCCAAGTTCACACCGAGCGCGCACCAGCTCTACATTTGACCTTGTCTAGATGAGCGCACACTGAGCACACATTAGAGGAAAAATGCGTTGTTTTTGCATTTTGTTTTTTTCTTTAATTTGAGCAGATTTTAGTCCCAAAACTTCAAAAATTCCTTTAATTCTTCTTTCAACTCTCTATCGACCAAAAAGAGCATCGATTAAGCACATTTTTAGTGAGTTTTAACCACTAAATTAAACTATTCAAGAATACTTGAGAATGAGGTTAAACTACTATCAAAATATAGAGAATTATGTCAAACATCACTACTACACACTTAGGGTTTTGCTTGTCCTCGAGCAAAGAAGAGAAATGGTTCGATCTTAACACATAAGCAATCAAAACCAGTTCAAAACTTCTCAACAAGCAGATTTCGCTGAGATCAACCATGACATTCAGAGATCCTTTCTTTTACTCATACTCAAACATTGAAAATCGAAACTTCGTGACCACAAAAATTTCATTGTACATCACTAGCAAAGAAGTGCCCCAAAATTCACACACTTTGTTATTAATCATATAACAATGGGGCAATTAGCAATCAACAACTCTCATACTCAGGAATGAATATCACATGCACATGAAACAGTGTCACACCTCCTTTTTCCGCCCCCGCAAGGGGGTGAAGGAGTTTTTCCAAT